TCACCGCTTGAAGCCTTACGGACCCGATGGTAGAATTTATGTCTATCGCCGAGGTTCCGTAAGGAGTCGTCGTACGCTGTTTCTGCGCGAAAATGCCAGGATTCTCACAGCTTGAAGCCTTACGGACCCGAAGGTGGAATTCATGTCTATCAGTGACATTCCACAGTCCGGCGCCGGCTCCCTGCATTCCTTCCCTCTGACTGTGGAATTTATGTCTATTGCCGAGGTTCCGTAAGGAGTCGTCGTACGCTGTTTCTGCGCGAAAATGCCAGGATTCTCACCGCTTGAAGCCTTGCGGACCCGAAGGTGGAATTTATGTCTATGAGGGACATTCCGCAGTCCGGCGCCGGCTCCCTGCATTCCTTCCCTCTGACTGTGGAATTTATGTCTATCGCCGAGGTTCCGTATGGAGTCGTCGTACGCTGTTTCTGCGCTAAAATGCTAGGATTCTCACCGCTTGAAGCCTTGCGGACCCGAGGGTGGAATTTATGTCTATCAGTGACATTCCACAGTCCGGCGCCGGTATTGAAACAGGGTGGGAAAAGCGGCATAATCAATTTGAAACGGGATAGATAGAATAAATCAGGATAGACTAATAAACTAACAGGACCCACGGTTTCATTCGCATCAAACCGTAAACGTCCGAAAAGGATTGATTAGCATAAAACTGCATTCATCCCGTTCAATCTAATTTCATCCTAATTCAGGTATGTTTTATGAATTGAGATTTTAAGATAAAAAAAAATCTAATCACACATTGGTAGGTTATAGGTTGTGTTACATTTTTTTTGTCTAACGGGTCAAGACCCCTCCACGCTCTTAACCTCTCACCATAAATTGTGCTGAACACTTATCGAGTGGATTGCCGATCTCTCCAATTAAAAAAAAGAAAAGAAAAAAAAAGTGTTTACCAAACAGGAAAAGATTACAGTAACGCCATTTCAGTTCACCTTAAATTTCAAGGTAGGCAACACGAGTTTCTACGTGGTTGAATGGTGGTATTGTCGTCGTGAAATGACAGTTTGCCTTCAATGATTAGTGTAGGCAACACAAGCTCTCACGTGGTCGAAGAGTGGTATTATCGTCTGTGCAATAGACGTCCTCTGTCTGCTTATTTGTTTTTATGTCATGTCGGGACCGCGTTTGTCAGTAAAGTGGTTGCTCCTCTTAACTGTTATTCATTAAGCTGTTTTTATTTTTTTTTACTTCTCGTCCGAGCACATGAACACTAAAAGAGAGAGATGAGGATGATGATTATGATGCTGATGCTGATGATGACCATGAAGAAAAAGGAGAACAACGAATGGTGCAGAACAAGAAGAGTGAAAGAAAATAAGCTAGAATAAATTTAGAGAGAAGAAGATGATGAAAGTGGGAGAAGCAAACAGACAGAAGAAATGAAAAGTAAAAAGAAGAAAGCAGTGAGAGGGAGATTGAAATAAAATAAGAACGTGGAAATAGTGGAATAGCTGTTTCATCGTGAAATTGCACGATTACTTGGTACATTTTTAAAATATAGCATTTCACCAAACTGGAGAAGATAAATTAACGTCATTTCATTTCGCCCTCAATTTCAGTGTGGGCAACAGGAGCTTCCGCGTGGTCGAATAGCGGTATCGTCGTGAAATGGCACGCTCACTCAGGCAAAATAAGCTCCCATGTGGTCGAATAGTGGCATCATCCCCGAAACAATATCGGCCTAATGCTCCCCGTAACTATAAATTTTTGGTGAAGCATCTAGACCCGTGACTTCAGTCACGGGCTTTCCGCTAGTTTATAAAAATAGTTGCTTCCTTGCCCATTATTTGTCTCAGATATTTCTTGTTTTCTTTTTGGCTTGATGATTCTAACTAAATAGGAATAGAAAATTTTTCCAGCTAGTAATTAATTTTGAAAATATTTGAAGGTAATTGCAACACACAGATTAGTAATAAATGAAATATTATTTATTCTTTTCAACACTGCAAATATCTATTTTTTGCAAAACAAAAAATAAGACTCTAAAACAAGTAACGACAAAACAAAAAACAGAACAAACTAAAAGATCAAATCAAATGCAAACAATAACAAAATATTAAAATCTGGAACTGAATCAATCAAATCGTTAAAATTTCACAATGCAATTTTTTATCATACTGAGATAAATTTGTCGGACTGAAGCAAGTTAACGATCAATTAATACACAGCTTCAAAAAAAGTCTAAGTAATAGGAAATGAGGCCAAAAAACTTTTTATTGCAATTTTGTCAGCATCAATGGAAAACGATTAGACAAGCTGTGATTGAGCTAACAGATTGGTAAACGTATACAAGTTCCCTTCATCATGTCTTTATCAGATCTTATAATTCATTGATTTACAATGAACAAGGGGTGCGTCTATCATTTAACATAATGTAGACATAAAATAGAAATTGAATGATATATTTGACCAATCATGAACTCCAATTCAGCTTAGTTTAACTGTCTCCAGTGGCGAAGATAAGATTTACATAATTAGCCTACCGTGATGAGATCTAGCAACCCCAACAGCTTCATGCTGAGGATAAACAGATCAAAGGAATGCTCCACCTACCCTTTTGCATTGCCTCTTTTTACTTGACAACAATTCACCCTTTCTATTCTCAAATATCTATTCCAAAATTCTGAAATTAGAAAAGAAAAAATCCAACTAGGTACAGAGTTAACTTCATGATTTGACCGGCTAAGGTTCAGTACTCTGCGTAGGCATGGTCTTGGTTTTAGTTGAGGGTTCCCAAAAAAAAAATTTTTTTAGTGGAGTAACTCAAAAATTTTTCTACAAGTATTTGTATCCTTGCAAAAAATTGAAACCAAAACTAGCACTGCAGGAAAATGTGTTAAGTATGCCAATGTTAGTTCAAATACATTTAGAGTTTACCAGGAAGATAACATTTGACTGTCAAATCTGATAGAGCCACATGGTAATGTGAAAGTTCTTCAAACTTCCTCTAGAGTAGAATTATGTTTGATTCGAAATAATTGCACTTCCCATTCAAGAATGTAACATACCGGTGAGAAATACTAATCAAGAGATGAGAAACCTTGTTTCTACGTAGCTAAAATCAATGGACAACATTAGAGCAAGCACAAAGCTACAACAGTCACCGCAAACCAACTTTGCCAATAATTAGCTATTAATTAGCTGGTGCTCAATTGGAAGCAACAGATTGCCGATAGGGAATTAAATATAATAGAAACCTTAGTAGAACAATGAAGTAACCATATTTTTCCAGATGATGGTTCCTCTTGTTTCTTTCTGAGAATAGTATTGCAGCTTCAGATTTGACAGTTATACATTGGGAAAGGATGTGTTCTTTGCCAGTCATTTTGCAGTTGGTAATTTTATTGTCAACTTCTTTGAAAATGTTCTGTTTTAGAATCTGCTACTAAGAGTGACTTCGTTCATTACCAGTGGAACCTGCATCAAGAACTTTAAGAACACATTCTTATCAAAATTACGGAAGATAATTTTTTTTTTTCACTACAAAAGGTGCTGAGGTAAATTATGAATGGGGAACTAACTTATTGCAGGGCCTTCGTAAAGTGTTGGTAGAATTTGAAAGTATTAACTCTAAAATTATATTTATAGTTGACTGTTGCTTCACTTTCAGACCATTGAAAAGTTTGAGATATTATATTTTGTAATGATAATTGTTCTTTTTTTTGTTCCACTTGAATAAATACCAAGGAGAAACATTCGGGAATAAACAAGAACCAGTGGTGTCAACTTCATGCAGTACTAGCAAACTTTGCTGGCATTAAGAGATAATTTTAAACATTTATTCTAAGGGTATGGTTGGGTAAAATATACAAACTATTGATAAAAAATCAATCTTCCCAAAAAGAAGGGAATCATTCTTGGATGGAAGTTGGGAGCTCTAATGAAATTAGGAATTAACGTAATCCATCTAGCAGAACAATTAAAAAAGGCTTAATTTAAAATTGAGCTTAGTCTTGACTTACTAATGAGAAATAAAAAATATGTACTCTAATTGGACAGTAAACTAGTTAGACTGACTAAAGTATAAGTTCCAACCCAGTTCATAAAAAGTTTGGTGAGATGTGAGTCATAAAAAATTCAATAAAAGAAAAATAAATAGCTCATCTTGTGTGATGACTTAATTTAAAATGATGACTAAATTAATGGTAGAATATAATCCACAATCAGAGCAAAATTGAGGATTTGAAGAGTTCTGAATGGCACCAGTAGGTATTAGAAAGTAAATTCTAACCATGTATCTTTATGGGAAATTCTTTTGACATGCTTGGGTTGGTTACTTGTAATATATATGTAAATTTTTACATTTTCATAAAGAGCGAGGGTGGATGGTTTTGAAAAATGAGTTTCTGGGAATTTTCTGTGAAAAAGATTCTGCCTCTTGATGTGGGTCCAAGTTTTGAAGAGAGAACCAAAATTGAGTGCAGAATGTTTCCAAATTTGTTTGTCAAGGGTTTTCGAAGAGTAAATAAATCAAGAAAATTGTAATTAAAGTTTTGATGAAGGAAGGAATGGATAGGAATTGGAGAGACTTCTTTTTTCCTTTTTCTTGAAGTTCTCACGGGATTGTGAGGCCAACCTGCTGTCAGATTCTGTTTAATTCTGATATTTAACTTTTGTTGAATACTTCTGCAGTTACCATTAAATAGAAGATCCTGCTTTGTCATTTTGACAAATTGAAAACAGTAGTTACTGAATAAAAGAGGTGCTGAAGCAGCTCTAAAACATATGTAGATAGGACTTCTACAAAAAACGAGAAAAAAATAATAAAAAAAAAATGGCATAAAATCACATTTTTGCTCTTCTATTCATTTTACGAAAGTAACATTAAGGTCTTGCTTCCCAGATAGCATCTCTTTGAGCCTGGAATTTATCTCTTTCGTTAGACACAGTGCCTGTTCATTACATCAAAGTGTAAAGGACCAATGAAATATTCAACTGGAAGAATAACATAATTATGAATTTCTTACCAAGCTTATCACAAATTCAGCACTCTGTTAGGTTACAGCAATAAATTTTTACAGAAATCTTTGGTGAGAAATGACTTGACTAAAATATTATAAATAAGTGTAACAATTTTTTTTATTCTGAAGTGAGTATCTTATATTGTGATCTTAAGTGTGGGTGAATCATTGAATGACTACGCACAAGCTCTTACTGGAACTCTTCAAGAGAAATGCTTAAAGTGGTTTGTGGCATCAGTGTACATTCTGCCGATAACACTTATTATTCATTTGTCCAAAGATAAAATTCTTGGGAATAGAAAAAGCAAACAGAGAATTTGACTGGCTCTTTGTCCACTAAAATACTGAGTTACTCGTCTGCATGATATGACTTATCTGCCATCTTGAAACACTTAGTGTAGCTAAATATCTTTTGTAAATATATAACTTAATACATGTAGGATCTAAAAAATAATCCTGACGATTTAACAATCGATAATTGTGGCGATAACTCAAACTAAGAAGCAGAGAAAGCTGTGACATTGACTTTTTTGACTAAAGGAGGAACACTTACCAAGGAAGAGACAGATAAATTCTTCTTCCTTTGCAACCTCATAGGAGTATATAATTGTGAGTTAGTGCTATTGTAAATTTCACAAACAAAAACTACTCTGATTGAAAATCATTCAATCGCTTTTCTATACATGAGAATAAATTAATGTAGAGTACGGAGTGAGAAATAATTATGGTGTTACAGATAAATATTTCCTGATGAAGGATCAAAATGACTTTCTTCTAGTAGGCTAATATTCAGCAAATTATTGGTAAGATTTTTTCTGAATAACAGAAAATTTTTGAGTACCTAAAAAATCACAGACTGGTGTGTTTTACATGACACCTTGAATATCCCTTGAAACCAAAAATGACTGTAAAATCTTCATTTTGATCATAAGAACGCTTTTTAAGCAATATTTACCAGCTTTTACACGATCACAATGTTTTGATCAAAGCAAAAAAGAAAAAGAGGAAAAAACCTCAAACATAATTTATCTAAATATTAAAGGCTATGACTGATAACAACCTAAATTACTCATAGATTATGCAGTTTGATCAACTGAAAGATCCATAAAACAATTACTATACAAAAACTGAACAAAAAATAATAACAAATTACAAACAAAAGTATGAATTACACACACACAAAAATATACAAATCCTGTCCAGCGATAATAGACAAGCAGATTAGTTGTTCTTACTCAACATAGTTTTCTGCAATCGGGCTTATTTCTATCTGGTAACAACAAGGCACAGGTCCTGAAAAACTAACTCTGTGCTGTTAGACTTAGAGAAGGTGATTATCAGGCAAGAGCGTCATCTGCTGTGGGAGATCTCATCTCATTTTCTTGATCTTCTAATTCAAACTACGCTTTTATTGGAATAATTCGAACAATTTCACAATTAATTTCTTTCCTCTGCCTCGAATCCATCCGTGGTTAGCACATGGCAATTCAATGTGCCTTAGAATAACCCTTCATTTCATTTCATTTCATTTCTTTTCTCCATTCATTGTCAAATTGGTGTATTTCTTTGTTTTTAAAAATTATGGAAGACTGTCACTCATTTATTAAATTAAATTGAATGTCCAATCAAACAGGACCATCATTTCTGTCCTATTTTCCTTTACTCTATTTCTCCTATGTATGGTGTCACCCAAGGGTACTGGCACCTGACAGTCCGTAGGGGTTGGAGCGGTGAAATTATCGTTTAAGAAATGAAATTACATCAACAATTGGCACAGTAAGACAAGGGTAATCTTCTCTCTCTCATCAGTTTTAGTTGTTGGGTGATGAAGATTGGCACATACAGTGAGGAGAAAATTAGAAAATGAAACATGGGTGGAGATTATGTAAAATCAATGAGGAGAAATGTTCCTTTTCCCAAGAGCACTTACTCGGGTCATTCTTTCGGGTCAATACAGCAATAAAGCCGAGGAACCATTTAACGCAGAAACAACTAGCCTGCTTGTATTAATTCACTCAGCAACTGGAGGAAACTAAACCTTCAGCAAACAATTTTAAGACAATCATGAATTCGCTCACGGTTACAATGAGAACTAATCACAGAAATACAAATTTCCTGATCATCTTTACGAGAGAAAACTTTGGTCGAAAATAATTAAAATTGGACCCTTAGGGGTTTTGTTTTGAGAGTTATGAAACAACTGAAATAGCATCAATGACTAGATGAAGTGCACTGAGTGCGAGGAGAGGATGCTACTTCCAACTTCAGGCTCAAGTTGAATACAGGTGGCTTCCATCACCCAAGATGAGTGCAAGTGAAAAGTTGCACATTGATTAAAGTTAAGAGAAAAAGTTTCTTATCATAATTTCTTCAGTTATCATTGATTATTTTCTAATATACAAAGGGGAACTTTGTTGGACCAGCAACAGATATAATTAAAACTTTGTATTATACTAATAATTAAGTAAGGCGAATTTCCACGAGAGGATTAGGTTAAGTTTTTCGGCTTACTGATAACCCTTGTTACAACAACAACAAAAAAAATGCCTCGTTAAAATTCCTTCGGTGCAACATTGCGCCGATAACCTAAGGTTTTCATGTTGTTAGCAATAATGACCACATCCAAAATTCTCGACCCACCTCCTGCGATGGGTCGAGGAATGGATGGATGCAACCATTGGTCGCAAGTCATCAAGCCGCAGAGTTAAGCTCTTGACTTCTGGCAAGTGTTTTCCTTTATGAGTAGGCGGTTCTGTTAAACTAGGCTCAAAAGTGAACCAAATGTGTCGACCAAATCCACCGGCAGAAATTCACCTACCCAGCAATAAATATGTCATTTCAGACGTTTTTGTTTTTTGTTTTTTGAAATCAATTAGAAAAAACTTGTAACAGTAAGGAAACAGTACAAAAATTAATGATCCTAAGTCTAGCGTCTCTGAGGAAGTTCTTTGAATTCCCTTCAATGATTTTTTCCAAAAACATTGAAGATGCTTTGGATGATTTTGAACTAGATTCTTTCAATCTGAAGACAACACATTTTTGTGGATTTTGAAATTGAGGTAAATTGGGAAGTAGAGATCTTCATTTTCTTCAAAGACTAGTGGTGCTTTTTGGAGAGAAAATATTTTACAGAAGGTTAAGTTCACAGGATAGGTTACTGTTTTAAATAATAAAATGCTAAAAGTGCTAGTGGCACTTGAATATCACCGTAATGTTTCAAAACGAATCATTTTCTGAGATCAATTTAGTCTGAATCTTGTGCATTTCTACAGATTTCCTCATAGGATTCTTAAATAACTACCATTCAAAAATAAAGATAATTGAAAACAACTTAACGAACATCTGATTTCCGGCCACTCAGTCCACCGATCAAATCCATTGCCTGCGAGCTGGATTCTCTTTCGTCTGAAAATTGACATAATTCCAGTGATTACTTAAATAAGAGAAAAAATTGCATCACATTGTACGGGTCCGGCTGGCCGTACTATAGACAAATGAAGAACAGGAAACAGGAAAAGGTCAACACAATAATGAACACGTAGGTATATGAGATGGCCATGCCGTGGGGCTTAAGCGAACACGAAATGGACTGGAGATCAAACTAAAAAGAAAAAGCAATCACCCGCGAGCTGGCCGGAGCGGAAGCTCAAAAAAAGAAACGACATAGTTGGCCCCTAAAGGGGACCAACTCACAATAATGTACTCACATCTTTTAAGAAAATGAAAGGGTCCGAGGATGGAAAACGAAACGAAAACGATCCGAAAAAGCGAAACGCAAAAACTTGAATGCCGGCTTGGGGTCTGCGCAGGAACAGACAGGAATCTGTCTGCTCACGCGCAGACGCCCAGAACCCAACGGCGGGAAAATTTGAATTTGGGGAGACGGAGGGGGGACCCACTGCACAACATGAATCAAAAACTTGTAAAACTATGATTAAAATGGATTGCATTTTGCAAAAAGGAACCAGGAGCATTCCAATGTTGCTAGGATTGTGCAACTTTATTTACCTTGCAAACATAAACTGATCATCCAAACAAGTTTTATCTTTACTCTCAATAAACTATAAATTCATGAAAAAAAATTACGTTTGTAAACTTAATTTTTGGCATGATTTCAGTAATGGTATTACCACTAATGTAAGTTGCACAATCCTGGCAGCATTAGAATTCTTTTGGTTCCTTTTTGCAGAATGCAATCCAAATATCCTATACTTTCAATTTTGTTTTATAGTGAATTTTCTGAAAGAAATACACTACTCCGTATATACTGTCTTAATAAAGGTACATATATCTGTTCATTGATTCATTTCTCGTCATCAATAGCCATGCGAAATGACGGCAACCATGATAAGTTGATATTATCTTGTCACCTTCCCAGTGGTTTACTTTCTTCAATCAGAACACCCTGAAAACTGTGGACGCCTTTCAAAATTTTGTTACCTCAAGCAGCAAACTTCATTTTTACATTAATAGACCTGGAAATTCATCCTGGAATAGACTAGCCGGTTTTGAAAGCTGCAGAAAATCAAGGGAATCACAATTTTTCAATCCTGAGTTGTGAGCACAGTTTCCACTTTTGTGGATCGTGAATTTGGCCTGACATTGAATTTTGAGAATTGTAGGACACAGTAAGACCCTTTCACAAGTTCCCAACTTTAACCTGAAAATTCAGCCTTTCCAGTTTTTACAATTAGTTGGACTGACTGAAAATTGCAGAACAAGACAGTGTCTCCAGGAAGAATTCTAATTCCAATTCTTCTGATTTTGATAACCGTTTAAGCAAAAAAAGATCTGATAAGCTGCATCATGAGTTTTTAGAATAATTTATTTGAGGGGGACATTTTAAAAAACAGAGGAGGTCTCGATCAACGTTTCTATAATAAAAATGAGAGAACTTCAAAACAGTACTTACATCCCGTATGAATAATATTGAGAGATTGGTAGCACTTGGGCGTAGGTGAGAGGCAGGTTTTCTCTAAGCTTTCCTGTAAAATTCATACAGAAAGAATAGAAATCTTGACTTAACAAAATATTGACAAGTTGATAACAATCTTTTACGTTGTCTACTATGAGGTTTTAGTGTGTCTGATGAGTAAGAAGTTTATTTTTGCCCTTAAGATTTAACAAATTACTTGCGATGCTTAAAAAAAGCTCCCAATTTATCATTTCTTTGGTCAGTAAAATTACCTGTCAAGGGAATAAGAAGGACTATATTCTTGTCTGAATACGTAATAAAAAAGTGCAAACCTTTAAATGAACCTTTAAAAATGGCGTGACTTCAATTTCAAAACTTCTCAGCAATGTACATAACTCACCTATTTCTGAAAGTTTTCTCAATATGTCATTCACTTGTTGCTGTAATTTGTAACTTTCAATTTTGCTCAGTTTTCAATAATTACATTCAGGAGAGAAAAATGCTGACAAGTAGAGTTGGGCCAGGTATCCGGCAATTATCCGTATTGGTGGATTATCTGGCCGGATACGATTTTCGCTGGTATCAGTATCCAGCCGGATAATCGCGATAACCGGTTTTTGGACCCGCTGGATAGTGTTTATCTGGCTGTGAAAATTCCGATAAATTTTTGGTGATATTTTGGCATTTTTCAGCACATTTTGAGTAGTCATTGTAATTGCTCAACTTTTCGAAACCTGTTATCGCCAGAATTAAGTACATTTCCTGCACATTTATAGCATTGAAACAAGATCCTTAATTCCTAAGGTTCGCGTGTTTCACTTTCAAAGATGAAGATGCAGGTGGAAGAGAGAAAAAAAAAACAATGCTGCCGATATGTGCATAAGTTTCCTGTTGGTAACGTTTTCAGTCCGAGTGTAACCCCGCACTTATTGTAATGTTGCAGTATGCAGCTTTCCACTTTTGTCTTGTTTTGGCACTCTTCTATTAATATCTCTCTTCTTGCACATCAGATTCATCTGGCCCATCACACTATGAGGCCAATGAAAGCCATGCTGCTTTTCTGCCAGGTCTTTCTTTTTAGTATTCGTTTTAGCAGGCCGACTCATAGCGTATCATTGAAAAATATGGAGGTTCCCGGTGCGAAGGTACATAAACCTTGGATGACTGTCTTGATGGTATAATACAAAGTGACCATACAAATAATACAAAGTATGCCTCTTGTCCTAAGCATGAAATCAGGAGATTTTTCTCACGCAAGAAAGCACTATCCGGATCCAGTATTATCCGGTTCCGGCCGGATACCTTAGCAAACTATCCAGTATGCGGCTGGCCGGATACGAAAAATCGATATCCATATCTCGTAATGCGAAAAATCCGCCAGACTCTACTGACAATATATGACAATGAAACTTTGGAAACATAAGGGCAAGTCAGGTAAGTGCTTCCAACACTATGTTTTGGTACTTTCCACTTATTCGTGGTTCGTTTTTTTTTTTTTTGTTGAGAGGTCTCTAAACCATGAAATTAATTGAAGTCAACAGGATGAGTGTGTGGTGAATTGCATCCGATGTTTCCTGAACAGTATATTATATTCTAAGTCACACTGTTTATAGGCAACTCCCTCATCCTCCAACTGTAATACCTACAATCATACGTTTTATACCTGAAACTTTTCTTTCACCCCAAAGCTTCCCAAGCAATGATCGTTGGATCGTTGATGAATGATCGTTCTTTATTCAAGCACAGCTAGAGAATGGCACGATTACAACATGCCTAGGGTAACTTCACTGCATTTCTTCATAGTCCTAGATAGAAAAGTAATTTTAAGTTTTCACTTACTTGACTAGAATCAAAACGAAATATAGGAGATCTTGGCCAACTAACTGGCGGTGGACTTCTCACCATATGCTGATGTATATCTGGTAAAGTTAACGGATCAACATCTGCTTCTTGCTGAAAAAGTACGACGTAATTATTAATTATTGAATTATATTGGAAGGGAATTATATTATATGTTCTGCATCACCCAATTAACTGAAAGGAGATGATAATTGGTCAGGAGCTCCATTTAGTTTTCTTGGATATTCAAAAGGCTTATGATAGTGTACCTCTTGTGAAACTTTGGAAAGTCCTGGAGGAAACTGGTTTTAGTGAAGGACACATTGGGGCAGTCAAACAGTTTTATCGGGNTGGGGGGGGCTTTTGCCAGAATCAACTGTCAAGGTCGGCTTTCAAACGGTTTTTGTCACAAAGGGGTTTAAGCAGGGGTGTAGTCTGTCACCGACTCTATTTAAGATATATCTAGAGCACGTTCTGTTTTCTGGACTTCAGTACAAACCTTTCAAAATCTGTGTTTTTTCATGGGTTCATATTTATACTTTATCCATACAATAGATACCCTGTAAATAAACTATGTACCTGTGCCATTAGGTTCACATCATCAGATTCAAGCTCTTCTAAGCTGTCCGCAAGGCTTTCTCTACTTGCCAAAACCTGAAACAATCAATTTGATGATAAATATCTTGCATACAAGACTTTGGACGCAAAGAAATGATTCAATTAAAAATGCATGCATCTTGCAGTAAAATTCACTTGAACTAATATTCTAGGATCTTCTATTGTAAAGACTGGACACTCTCATCAATGTGACTGGGCAAATATGCTTCGATCAAGCCTCTGAGATTTCTCATGAGCCACTAGACATGGCAAGAATAAGAGCAACACAAAACTTATTTCCCATTGAAATTTTACATAGAGTGCCACTAGATGTAGCAAGAATGAAAGCAACACAAAAGTATTTACCCATTGAAATTTTACACAGAGGACATCGAGCATATTGAGAATTTCCAGGATTACTTCACAAATAAAAGATAAGTGTTTACTACTTACAAAATAACCAAGAAATTCAATAGACGTCCCCCCCCCTAAAATAAACGAAACTCAAAATGGGTCAAATTGGACATTAATTATAAACTTATTATTTGGGAAGATTTAAGGTGAGTTTCACCAAAACTGCCGTACTCTTCTGATGCACGGTGCTTTAAATTTTGAATTTGCTTAGGAATATTCAGCACAATAGCAAAATTATTTAATCACTAAGCATACTGAAGTCAATTTGGTGACAAGTGGATCTTAGTTTAGTTCGGTTTTTTAGTGAGAAGTTAGTTTAAATACATACAAATACTAAAATCACTAAAATATCATTTGAGAGCTGAAATTGAACACTTTCAATACATCTACACTGTTCGCACACAAGGGTCTGTAGGAAGGGATTGAAATAAAATGAAATAATTATACAACAGCTTAAGGAGATTAGTTGTGTACCATTTGCTGCTAAGCACATGTAAAAATACCAAACATTGACTCTTTAAGAATACTTCAAAGTTAAGGAAGGATGAATTGCGAATTTGAGATGAACATAGATGAAGTCTGCCATTTTCAGAGAAAATTCATTTCGAATGCTATTAACTCCATAAATGGTGAAAGCTATGATTTGAAATATTGATCCGATGTTTTTAGAAGTATAAGGAGGTCTTTTGCATTAGAGTCATTCCATGCCAAATCAGACCAAAAATTGCCACTCCTCCAGAATTGAATAAAATTTGACCCATTCATTCTGCGGAGTGACCTGAGTTGAAAAACTTAAATTTAAATTTTTTTCGATGCCTCCTTCAACTTTTGTTGAGCTTTAAAGTTCAAGTATAGTCATGGACATTATTAAACTTTTTAATTGAAAATTTAAAATGGATAATTTCGATCCCACATCGGTTTTTTCACTAAACTAAATAATTTGAGTTGTACCAACTTTAGGGTCTTATGCTTCACGCCTTCACAAATTTGGATGAGAAAGTGCACATTGGGTTTGGTTTCAAGCTTTGCTTTGTGGTCAATTCCCTAGAAACCACTTACAACGAGAGCTTCCTATGTGTAATGTGTATCGAGTTGACATTTTTGAATAAAAGCTTCCTGAAAAACAAGGCAAACATACTTGCAAAAATGGATTGTCCTGGCGTGAAATTCTCAAGGCCTCCATATCCTGGTTGATGTCTCGACATCGCATCGTGCTGGTGCAAGGTGAGGCCGGGCATCTGTTTAAAGCTATATCCCTGACAGATAAACTTGATACCAAACAAGCTCCATGATTTGCTGAAACCATGGCAATCATCAAATATTATTAACAAAAGGACAGATAATCAGGCAAGAGAGTTGTCAAAAGCATAAGACAATGTATTTTCTTCCAATAAGTTTTTGGAAAAATGTAAGATGTAAATGTAACATAAAGCTTCCTTCCATTTCGTAACTGACTCGGCAGTAAGTTGAAGGTGCAGGGTGCACTTCGCAGTTGTAAGGCATCATAATCTCAGCTAACATTTCATTCATTATAAGGAAAGTGAATACATGCATTTCATTGAAATTTTTACTGATTTTTCTCTGTGATTTTACAGTTTCCTATGGAAAACATTCCGGCATATCACCAATTAGCTTCTCCTCTGAGACATGCATTAGCAATGAAGATTCTGAAACTTCACAACCAAATCAAAGTAGATACTCTTGTTGGGTGAAAAAACACTAACAGTATGGCCCGAACTAAAAGTAACAGGATGGTAGATTGGTAGGCACTAGGTCCACCTTATTTTGCGGGAAAATCAAGACAGAAAAGTTCCAATTTTTTTCATTAGATTTGAACTCTTGATACGTATCAGTGCAATACAGAGGGTGGAGTTTTCAGCTCAGGCAGATACGTTTTAATATCAAAGCTGAGGTCATGCCAAGAGACCTATATTGTTTTGGGTCTCATCGGTAGATCACTCTCGTCAGTGAGTCCAGCTTAGTATCCCTCACGATTCAAGACGGCACCAAACTTTTTGAAACATTGATACATTTTGGAACAATGGATTTTTTTGGCATTTCAAAACTTTGTGGCCTTATTTTTCCTGTAAAATAGTGTGGACCCAGCACCATTCTACCATCCTGTTATTCCGTCGGCGATATACTGTATTCCTTACAAAGTACAGCGCATGTCATCAAGCCATACAAAACTGTCCACAGACTGTTCCTCCCATATTTAGTGAACGCAAAGGGTGGTGTTCTTTCACTCAGAAATGCAGAAACTTCTCAACCACCCAATCAACAAGGATCGGTGGCTAGCACAGAAAAAAGACCCAACCATATTTTTAAATGGAAAATCTGTGAAATCAGTTCTTGGAAAGGAAAGGTCCGCGTACAATCACAGCAATTCATGAATAAATAGTAAAAAGAGAGGAGGGAAAAAAGAGGTTTTCAAAATGAGATAACCTATTAGAAAAATGGGAGGGATAAAAATTTTCAGCAATATTGTGCTTTCTCCGATAGTTGATATAATATCAAGACTATTACTTACCGGTGGTATCATCACTGTTGACACAGTCTTCTGAGCTGACTTTAATGTGGCACTTGAGGTCAGACTTTTTGCGTTTAAAAAAATTTGTGAATAATCTCAATGGTGTCTTTTCAAGATCCATTTAACACAACGGAACTTTCTTGAATAACAATCCCCTTGCAACTATAAAAACAAAAAGAGATTAAAATCAGGTGAGTGGGTATGCAAGACTAATTTAGGTACTCAACACAAGTGAGAAAACAGATCATTATAATGTGACAGATAGGGTACCTACTGTATTGGAGACTTTCAGAGAACTAAAGAGGCGGAAACCTGTCGGGAAGGGAGTGGCTCACCATTTCAGAAAAGATTATTTTCCTATTATAAACAGCATGGTCACTGGGTTTCAAGGGATGATGTAGAAAGAAAAAAGAAGGCCTGGGCTTACACACAGAGAAACTTTGTGTGCTGTTTGCAGGGAAATTACGAAGTATGATAGGAAAAAGTGCATTCTTGATTCAACATTCAAGAATTTAGATGGAAATTTTAGATTCGACGCTGCCAGTACCTTGGCAATACCGTGAGAAGCACTTGCCTTTCTACGGATTAACAATCAGTTGCGAATTCGGGGAGTGTAGGTAAGGTGTTCTTAAAAGTTGCGAATTAAAATTAAATCTTTTAAATTATTCCAAACATTCCATTTAGTTTACTCCTCCAGTTCATGTTCATGACTGATTTTTGATTGGTGTACAGTTAAGTGCTCCTCACTTGTACGAGACAGACAGAAATGGATTTTGAACTTTCATCTACACTCTTGAACAGTGAACCAAGGATGTATTTATCCCCTTGTGTTGTCAAATCATCCATAGAGGAGGTATATCCTTACCTAAACTGACAATTCTTAGCTGATACTTCAACTCAAAATTCACTGGAACAGACACCATCTTGAACAAAAGAACGAATAAAAAACCGTGCTAATCAACACGAACATTCGATGACTAATTTTCTATTGCCAATGAATGAATCTGCAAAATCAACATGCTCAGATATGCATTACAGATAGATTCATGCATCAGATGTGTACTCTTTACAAGTATTGACGATGGAATAGAGACAAGACGGTAGAACAAGTCCAGCAAAGAGTTATGGTCCATTGTAAATGAAGCGGTATTAGGAGTCAAAATTCCTTATTAAACTTCATCATGATTAATAGGCAAAGGTGACAGGGTGCTGAGTTCTAGAAAGTCAGGAAAACAAATGCGAATAATATATGGATAACTCTCTGCTGAGGGTCGAAAAAATTGCTGGCCCTGAAATGATCAAATAAAAAATGATAACATAAAAAATGATAACATTAATTATTACCATAATATTAGGAGAAATGATGATAACCCTGCAATCCCTGACACTTTTTTAATAAAAACACCATGGAACTGTTAGTACTTGAGAGAGTGAAATAAACATTAAGTAAATATCAGCTGTTTCCATACTTTTCATCACACTTTCGCGGAAAAAGATCAATTATCGTTCAACTCCTCCTAGGGAACGCTCTCTACCGAGGAACTTTCTAACTTTCAAACCAAATAACCTGGAGGAGAGCACCGCTGTTGCAATTTCTCTCTAATTTGGTTACTTCCCCCTAGTTTTCCAATGCTGAAACACCAACTTTGCTTAAATTTTGCAACAATTTTACAACCACAGGAAATCCGCTTCATGCGCGCGCGGTATGTGCAGTAATCAGAAATCGTTCGTTACATCATGCTGCCAAAAGCATAACAAATCAGTGTCCGGCACCTGCGCTTATCAGTGACCTCCCTTTCTAATTTTCGTAATCAGTGGATTGAGTTACCGTTGTTACCTCAGGTTCCAATCAGTTTTAGAATCGTGTCAACAAGTCACTCTGCTAAAGTTACTTCCTTTCGAGCATTGAACTTCTCCTCCTACTCCTATTCAGTTTTCTCCTCGAGTTCACGTTGAACGGCCAACTCAACAAGTGTCTGCTTTTAACTTCAAGTAAATCCATCTCTACTTTGCCAAGATGTCAAGTGCAGGACGTATTTTCGTTTATGGCGGTCGTGGAGCCCTTGGAAGCACATGTGTCTCACACTTCAAAAAGCAGAACTGGGTAAGAATTTCTCTCCCTTGGTTTTACAAGTACAATCATCCTTATGAACTTACACCAACACCATCTAGTAATCGAAGTTTTAGCTGATAATGTCTCCATTATACTTTGGTATGTTGGAACCATTCAGCGTCTAGTACCTAACTGACTAGGATGAAGGGATGAGTATACATCGCCCCCTTACAGCTAGTATCAAGTCACAAATGTGAGAATGTTTCAAGGTTTCTGGCATTAATACTTAAATCAGATGTCTGCATTTGGATTAGAATTCTAACCCAAGTGAACTATTATTTCCAACAAAAGGCCCCCAGATATCATGCCTACTTTGTAATTCAAGGATAACTGGTACCCATTAGAAGCTGAGAGAGTTGCCAGCATGTTGGCTCATTATGAATCATAAATATCTTCAAGGAAATGCCGCATGCCTTCCAGGGCACTTTTTTAGGTAGGTAAGTACTGGTTCTGAAATGTTCTAGTACTATCGAGCCTTTGATTTCTCTTTGTAGGGTCAAGTTATTGTGGTTCCTCATGGCATGAAATTCTACATATTCTGGGTTTCAATATTACCTTCAAATAAAGAGAAACTACAATTTTTCTAAGCTGCATGAGCTTTTACACTTTTGTCACTTGCTCTTTTAACAGTCATAAATGTAGCCAATAGCATTTGGCAGACACGTGGGGGAGGGGGAGAGGGGTCCTATTCTGACTGTTTGATCCTCCCAGGGGCCTGAGTACAGGGGGTCTACCGTCAGTGAAAACCGGAAAAATCAGGAAAATCGGTCATGGATCTGGAAATTCTACGTGCCTCTAGTATTTTTCAAAGATTGGGAAAATTTAAAAAAAAAAAAAAAAAAAAGTTTTTTCAAACGTTTAACTCAAGTTTTTAAGTAAATATGTTGGTTTGTAAAATCAAACCAGTGTCAATTTGTTCTGAAAATCAGGAAATTTTGTTTAAAATATCAGGAAAATCCTAAATGAAATTTCACTAGACACCCTGGAATGGCTTCACACAGCCACTTTACTGAACAGTGAATACCCCTCTCCTTTTAGTTTTATGCACCGGCCCCTGTGGGACCAAGGAAACATTGCCTCTGAAAGGGGCGTATAATTTTTGGTGGAAAATCAAAAAATCTATACAAACCAGAATCAGGAACACATGCAGGGCTTAAAGTTTAAACACAGTTGCTGTGGATTTGCTGTTCTTTTGCTGTCAGTCGATATCAGTGTCTGACGTAAGTTTATTAATTAAAGTCCCCCTGTTGAGGTTGACATGATGCCATAAAATTTTAAAGGGCCCAGAAGTCCTTCATGCCACACCACAATAATCATAGCAAATGTTAATATACACAATTTTTCTTTTATTTACGGTTTAAGTATTTTTTTTTCCTTTTTTCTTTGTCTCATACTTACTGAAGTATTCGTTGATCATTTTGCAGTGGGTTGGATCCATTGATCTGAAGGAAAATGAAGAGGCTGATGTTAATATAATTCTTGATCCAAATCACGGCTGGCTGGAGCAGGTATTCAATTGTTTCTTTACCTTTTTTGCTGTTTGTCTTCCTTTTTTTCTTCTCCTCCTCTCATGCTGTTTAGTTCTAAGCTCTCTCCTCTGCCATCTCCCAAGTTCACCTTCACAAACTGCTGTTTTGACAGGACACATTTAGGTACATGCTCAATTTTTTTGTTTTTTGTTTTCAATTAGCCCTCAAGGACTAATCCCGTTCAATTCCTTCCCACCTTCCCTACTGTCCTATCTTATTTACAATATCTTCAATATTACTTTCTTTATTTTCTTTATCATACTATTTATTTCATACTTTCTTTGTTATCATTATCAGCTGTGAACTGATTTTTTCGCCCTGAAGTTGGATTAACTATTTTACGAAGATCACAGGAAAGTTAATAAGAGTTGTATTTCCATGGTCAAGAGCCAACAAATTGTACTCATATTTTACCCCATATCAGGCGAAAGTATAAGCCTAACTTGTAGATGTCATTTACATTTATTAGGAGGCGCTAAGTTTTTTGATAATTTAAAAGAAACTTTGGCAAGAATCAATGATGCATCATGAGTTTAAGAAGCACCAATTTTTAAAGTATTTCATTGGTCTCTCCGGTTTATTTGATTGATCTGATTCTCAAACACATTTTGTGCAGTGAAATTAAAATACTGCTTGGAATCTTTCTAATCAATGTTTTTTTTTTTACTTATCTATTTTTTTTTTTAAATTTTTTTTTATTTTTTTTATTTGCAGGAGTCAAAATTAATCAGTCAAGTAGGAGCTGCTTTAGAAAATAATAAGTTGGATGCAGTAATCTGTGTCGCAGGTGGATGGGCTGGTGGGAATGCTGCCTCTAAAGGTAAATTTGCCTCAATTGCTCTCAGAAATGTTGATTTATTTGGTATTCATCAGCTGCTTCTAGAACTTTGCAGGTATCCAACGTGTGCTGTAAAAGAATTATGAATTATGACTATGGAACCAAAGAAGGTTGATTAAATTAATTAAGAGTCTTGGTCTATCTTAACTTTACTGTAACTGCTCTCAGTACGTACCATGCTAAAACTACCAACCGTGCTTTTTATGTCAAGCACTGGTGCTATCAAATTTTTTGTAATTTATTACCTGTGTTTAAACTTGTTTGTTGTTTTATCTTATTTTTACTCTTTTTCTCCATTGTTAATGTGCCGAATTGTGTTACTTTTTCCTTATTCTTATCAAGCTATTGAGGCACCCTGTTGAAATTGAATTTAAAATAAAATGAACATACAATGCGGCTGCCTGGACCGTTCAGTGCAAACATCAGTTGTACTGTAATGAAGCAAAATGGAGTCATGTTCTATTTTGCAACCTAAGAGCCCTTAGTGCACAGGATGTGGAGTGGATTTAGATATCGACGGTGAAACTACCAAACCACGTATCTCGGTTTGCGACGTCGCAGACTTCCTGTCATACTTTATTTTTTAAATAGAAAACTACTCAACGCCAATTCGTGAAAACTTCCGTGATTTTTCCCCTTTGTGGGGTGAAAAATCTGTGAAAATTGTAAGGAATGATATTGATTTGATCTCCTTCAAAAAAATGAAATGTAAGTGGAGATTTTTAAACACCGCAAACGAGATACGTGGTCTGGTAGTTTCACCGTCGATGTAAGTCGGCAATCACATATCTCATTTGCAGTGTCTGAAAATCTCCGCATCTATGTTATTTTTTTAAAGGAGCACTAATTGACATCATTCCTTGAAGTTTATGTAGAATTTTCTCCTTGTAGAGAAGAAAAATCACAGCAGCTTTAAAGAATTGCTGTTGAGTAGTTTTCCGTTTAAAAAATAAAATATGACAGGAAGTCTACGATGTCACAAACCGAGTTATGTGATTGCCAACTTACACCGTCGATATCTTTGACAGAAAATGTAATGTTCTTACAGCGATTGTAGATGCCTTGAGCAAAATAAAACGGGCACTGTGGGCCTCTCAGAGCTTTCTAGTCATTAGTTCATGTGCAGAATTAAATTTTGTGTTTTTCTTTTTATCTCTCAGAATTTGTCAAAAACACTGATTTAATGTGGAAGCAAAGTGTTTGGAGCTCTGTCCTTGCTGCCGCAATGGCGGCCAACTTCTTGAAAGAAGGCGGTGTTATCACATTGACAGGTGCTCATGCGGCTCTCAATGGAACTCCAGGTACTAAAAGTATAAAATATTTTTTCTTGATATACATGAAGCAATGTAGGTAGGTTTCTGTTTAATGTATTGACTGTCAGTTGTGTCGATATACCATTGCAAATACTTAATGGATTTTTCTTGTACCATTAGAATTAGCCTTTTAAATCACCTGTATCATCTAATATTCTCCATAAAATGCCAAAACTGCACCATTTATGTGAGAAATGAACTCGCTAATTTTCAAGAGGTCTCTATAATTTGATCCTGGTTGCATGTGCATGACATTCTCAATAAATTGCTATTATTAATGATTTTATAATTTGCTTATTTGCAGGAATGATAGGTTATGGTTTGGCAAAAGGAGCAGTCCATCAGTTGACAAAGTCACTTGCTGCCCCTGAGAGTGGTTTGCCAAAAGGCTCTTTGGCTGTCTCAATTTTACCCATTACCCTTGACACACCGATGAATCGCAAGTGGATGCCAAAAGCTGATACTTCCACCTGGACCCCTCTTGAATTCGTTGCAGAGTAAGCTTCCCTTCCTTCACTTACGTTTGCTTTTAGCTGATTATAATTTCCCCGAATAGTTGAGCTGACAAGAATAACATTTCTTAAGATCACATGATTTTTGAATTACATGATAACAAGGCCATGGCTGAAACACATCAGAATATCAGGCAGATTTTAGACTCAATCGTAGCATCCGAGTTTCCTGATGGAAATTCCAAGTACTGAAAGATAAACAACTTGAATATATCTAGATATGTTCATTTTTAAGGGAGCAACGTTTTCTACGTCCTTAATTTAATAGGTAGTAGGGGGCTGCACCCTCTGGCCACTCCACGGTCCAACCCCCTAGAAGCGCTTCGCGCCTCTATTGTGCAGATATCCCGAGATCGTTAAAAGATCATTTAAGAGTTATTAGGGAAAACCCGGTTTGGAGACGGCGGGAAGCATGTGACCGTGCTCGGCGGGAGGGGAGCGGAGAGGGGAGGAGAAACCGGTTTGTGGCATGATTAGCGTTACACCCTCAGTGTGACACCCTCGGCGTGACACCCTCAGCGTGACACGGCACCCTTATGATTTTATACTATAGAGTAAGATTTGTTACAAACTTGTCAGAGTTTGTGTGGCCTTGGATATTACTAGTTTCTTTTTTTTTTCATTTTTAAATTCTTAAAAGTACTTGATTTATAGGAAAAGTTCAAGTTCTTGAAAGAATTTGGTTCAAGGTATGTCATCGAAGTACATGAAAAGTCTTGAATTTCTGAATGTTGGGTCTAAATCTTGAGAATCAGTGAACAAAAATCTGCTTTTAAGTGTAATGTTCCTCCTTCCTCTGCTATTTTAAGCAACCCTCTAGTATTGGGTATTCTCTCGGATATCAGCTCATCTTGAGGTGAATTTTGAATGGGTTTTGTGTGCTCCAGCATACATATTTTTGGGGGACAATGTTTTGGCAGTAGATGCCCTTGAATGCCTGTTTCAATTTATTTAAACAATTTTTAAGAAAAACGCTAATACAAATATTTTCCATGGGATGCCTTGAAAAACTTGAAAATGGGAAACTGTGACTTTGCAAAACTCGTCTAAAGTCTCTATATAATTTATTGTTTTGACTGCAAGAACTCTAAATAGTACCTGCCAAAAAACCCCTTGTCCTCTTGATGCAATTTGACAAAAGTCAAGCATATTAGCAGTAGTTATACAATACTCTTGTTTCACAACATACTTTATAGATTATCTTGTCAAGGCGGTGTAATTTTTATGAATTCTACAAATTTTTCATTCAACCATCATGAAGGATTCAACTTAACCCTTAGCAAGCATGTACAAAGAAGAAAGGCCTCCTCAAATTTTTGGCGACGGAAGCCTGGTTTTGAGATATTTAGTGAAATTTAAATACTGCTACAGGAATTCGTATTTTGTGATTCATCTTGTATTCTATCTAATCAGCGGTATTTTTCCCTCAGTCTTTTCCTTCAATGGACACAAGGACAGAACAGACCTGCCAACGGTAGTTTAGTAGGCCTGAAAACGGAAAACAACGTCACAAAGCTGGAAATTTCCTAAGTCCTATCTACCGGCCACGCCAGCAAGGGATCATCTGTTACTTACGAGGTATACGTTATAGTATTCATCATGTTTTCATTTTTCGCTTCATCGAGTTCATTTTATCTTTTCTCCTGCTTTTCGTACTTTGTTAGAGATTCTTTGTACCTGTCAATATTTTCTGTTTCTGTAAGTTTTAAGACAGGCTTAAGTCTAATTTACAAGTAAAAACTTAAGAATCTCCGTCAAAGATAAGCTTTTTTCTGATTCTACAGTATACTCCTTTTCGATTTGGTAATTTTTTGAAAAAGAATAACCATCCCTTAGAGAAGAGAGATTTCTAAAATTTCTTCTCGACACCATAGTTTTAAAGAAAGAACTCACTCCATTGCTTGAGAAATGTGTAGATCTTAAAGCTCTTTTAATGAAAAAAATGATATTATCATTGATTTGAATCCTGCAGCAGAGTTTTCCCTTGCCAATGAAGACAGTTGTTTCTTGATAAGGCTTTCTCTTAATCTACATTTTCAAGCAAGATATGCTCCTGTCGTCTTCTACTTTTAAAGAGGGCATGCAATGGTTTTCGTACAAAAATTTTTCCCTCCATTCTCAGACAATTCATTTGATATAATTCCAAGGCTTTGGCAGACTTATTTTGTATTCATCCAACAGGCACCATCAATGGAGCATGAATGTTAGTCTTCTCAAGACTATCTGGCTTAGATATTTTTTCTTTTTGTATTTCAGTAGATCAATTTGATCTCTAAATAATAATGAATGCAATTCATATTTATTTGTATAATGCCCCTCAGTGAACTGATATAAACCGACAATACTCATCGAAAGTAATGTACATTATTGTTATCAGTGTTTCTTGTTATTAGTGTTTGTTTTTCCAAATGTACTTTACTTGGTTTTTAAAATTGATCTGTCAGATGTTTCAATAAAAAAGTATTTTAATTGGCAAAGAACTTGTTTTAAAATTAAACCTCTTATCCTCCTGAGAGCCTTTGACAATTGTTCACGCATAAAATTGCCAATGTGAAGGTAATTTTTTTTTGTGTTAGCATCACAGACTGATTCTAACTGCCGTTCAAGACCAATCCACACAGGTCAGTCATTCCCGAGGACGAGTTTTGGTACTCTACTGTGCAGTGACGAAGTATTGAGTGCCTGCAATGTATTTCTTGTGGGAGCACCCATTGTGACGTAGCATTGAGTGCTGCGAGTTAGGGCCGGGCGGGGGAGTGGATTTCAAAAACGCTGCGCAATGACTGACCTGTGTGGATTGGTCTTGCTGCCGTTTGTTCATTTACTTTCCACTCACAAGTATAATAACTATAAGAGGTTATGTATCCAAGCTGTATTGCAAGAAAATTTCTGCAAGAGGAAAGTTTAACTCAGGATGTATTTTAAGAATGAAATGAATTTATTTATTGTAAAATTAACAAGAGCTGAGAGTTTAACAATGTAAATAAAAAAACACAGTACACAGATAAAGTCATATGAAATGGAAAATTGAATGAGAGTGGTGTGGTTACTGAGACCTTACAGGTATAAAAAAACAACAAATAGCTAGTAGGTAGGGTAATAAATATGACCTCAAAGGTTCTGAAGGCTAAAAATGAAGGCATATGAAAAATATTTTGAATTTTGGTGGAAACATTACAAGCTTATTGTGCTAAAGCCATAGAATAAGCCTATCTCTAAGGGGAAAAAAGAAAGTAAGAATAAATATACGTATTGGTTAACAAATTTTATATAACATTTTCAAAAACATGCCCTAATGATTTAACAGTAGTAGACACGCCAGCAGCCTGATTGTTAAAATTATTTGTTGTCGGGACAACATAGATGACATAGGTTAAAAGGCGGAGCGTGATTGGTTGGCTATGTCTTATCGCTGCTTTGTCGTGCCTGTGTCGGGTTGAACGACAAGCCAACGGCACCTCTTAAGTTCCCGACAGTATGTCATCCATTCCACCTGACAAAGGCACGACAAAGCAACGATAAGACACTGCCGACCAATCTCGCTCCGCCTTTTAACCTATGTCATCCATGTCGTCCCAACAAACAAAACATTTCAACAATCAAGCTGCAGTGGAACTTTTGAGTATTGAAATATCTGTCTCGGCAAATCAACAATGGAACTCCCAAACCACATATCTGAGTTCATCCTTTATTTTTCAATGAAAAACTATTAACATAAATTTTTAAAAACTTCCGGGGTTTTTCTTCTCCGCACAAAAGAATTTTTGAGAAAACTTAAAGAAACTAAGTTGATTCGTCCTCCTTTAGAAAAACAAAATGGAAAGCGGAGATTTCATTTCAAACAATGTATGTGCTTCAAGCGTTTCACCATTGATAATTAACTTGGTTTGGTTTATCATACAATACTGCAGTGGCTTCACTTATCATAGGTTGCAACATTTCTGAAGGAAAAATTCAGGAATAATAAATCCACTCCAATTGTGCCCATCATAAAACGCAATCAACTATACTTAAAAATTCCATTTTCTGTAAGTCCTAACATATCGTGGGTGAATATGAAAAACTAAAAAACTATTCATATTAAAAATAAAGTGAGAATTACAAAGTTGGTTTGTATAAAAATAAATAGTGTAGAGGAAAAGAAACAAAACAATTTTTATGACAAGGTTTGGTTAACTGTAAGAAAGGGAAGTAAAAAATGCCAGTATTATTGAAAAGGTACAAGCGAAAAGAAAATACCGTTAGGCAAAAGCTTAATAATACATTCGAAAAAGAACAAAACAATTGTTTTTGAATTTTCCCCGTTCCAGAATTAAAGTCAATACAATTGCATGTTTTTTAAATCATGCCACATGTAGCTGAAAAATAAATTTCAAATGAAGCGACTCACTTGCAAACAAAATCCTTGATATTGAATTTTCACATCAGCTCACTTGCTGGTATGTGTTTATTGACACACTTGTGCTATTGAGGCATTGCAATTCATTATTTTGGAGCAGGCACAAGTGGCAATGGCTGATGTAATGTTGAAGAACGCTATTGTCAGTTTTAGGCATGTTCAAGCCCAAAAAACTTGGAGTTTTGTAGTACACTAGAGGGTAATAACGTTGATGTATCGTCAGTTAATTTCAAAACTAGGCATAAAATTCACTTTGTCACTGTATATAACAAGAATATAGCAAAGGTGACATAGGGCTTGAAGTTTATTGGCCACAACATAAAGCTGTCAGCATCATAATATTTTGACTTAATGTACTTCAATGCCATGTAAAAAGCTAAAGCAAAGTTTACGTTGAGGTTAAGCGAAGCAATGGTCACAATGTTTGGGGTAGGTAAAGCATAAATGCTCCTTTTGATTAAAAATCGTTAAAAATGATGTTTTTGTAAATAACATTTTCTCTTTAAAATTATAGTGGAATTTGAATTCATCTAGAGAATACAAGGGCAAAAACACGATTACATTTCACCAACATCAAGACTTGGCAAGTAAAAATAAAATGAAGATCTACTAAAATTTAAAAAAATAAATACATTCTATTGGTATCTTACAACTTAACAAATAAACAGTTAAAAGTTTTCATTTCTACAGGTAGAAAAAGTTTAAAAAACGATTTGGCCGAGCAAGTTAAGTCTAAAATAGGTAACAGTCTTTGAACAAAACCTGAGCGTAACATACGAGGTTTTAAATAGTAAAATTTAATTTTAAAGAAAATAAAACACAATTAAATACAAATTTGATTGGAACTGAAAGAGGGCCTAATTAATGTTAATCAAGGACTTCAATTTATGATAAAAAGTTATTTAAGTAACTGCGAGTGACATGCATTGAACGAAGAGAGAAGTCAATATTTCATTTAAAATGATGCAAGAGGAATGCAAACAAGAAAACGAAACTGAAAAACCGCAATAAAAGCAATGTGACCAAATTCTGGCTTGTGTTTAATCAGAAAGCTTATCAATTTTTTTTTTAGCGAGTACACGAGCCACCAATGTCACTTGGCACCAGTTCAATAATCACAAAAAAACCACAGATTGCGTTACTAGTGTTTATGATAAATCATTGCAGCATGGAATTATTGTGTCCATTAAAAAAGCTGTTGCATCTGAAACTTAGATGCTCAAACTTAAAATATAATTTGGTATTTTTATGATGGAATGATTTAAAATGCTGATTACTAAAAACAATTACAGAAGATCTGATGAGAGTAGCGTATGAAATGGATGATAAGATTAAAATGACAGCCTGTATAAAGATGTTTCGACATTATTCAGAGCTTTTCTACGCTTTAATCATGACTTATGAAATATTGTATTCAAATTGTCTCAAAAATTCTATTCGATGGCTGTAATCATGCCTGACGGTTGTGACTGTTTCAAATGTTGAAAAAAGAATGGACTTGAAATTACGAACAACAAAACAACCTCAATGAAAAACTTCATGAAGACATACAATATCTAACTGTATCGCACCAAATAAATGAACAGTTGATGTTACTTGCAAATAAAATGTATCCAACATTAGAGGTGACAATAAATGTTCAAAGAGAAGTTATTGCAGTTTTCTCTTCTAATAATCCTCTGGCTATTAACATTTTTACTCTTGCCAGGAGGCACTTCATATATTATTTATATAAATAGGGAGAAGTTTATGTCCTCGTAATTCTTGAATTTTCTTAAAACTCATGAATACCAGACTAAAATACAAATAATTTATAAAAACTCCTAAATTAACAAGCGACATTAACAATTTAACTATAATACTGAAAAAAAAGAGATCAAAAACACAGAAATAAGGTGACCCTTATCAGACCTAGCAGGATGATTCTTAAAGAGTGACTAAAGGTGATGACATTAAAACGAAGACTAAAGAGGTTGATGGAAAATCAACCTCTCATTCCTACTCTGGATTTTTATTTCAATTTTAATTAAGAACAGACATTTCTTTACTAATACTATACTGATCATGGAGAACTTTACCACAGCAGGGGGAAATTTTTTGTTCAGAAGTAATACTGCAGAATCAACAAAAAGCATGGCTTTCCTTGCTATTTGAAGATGCGCACCACATAGGTAACAATCGACTAGAGGTCCGGAGCTTGGCTGTTGCCATGTCTTACAAGGCTCCGCTACAATTTCTCTCGGCACAAAAAAATGTAATTCCAAATCCGACCTGGGCGAATTTTCTGAACTTTTAGTCAAGATAAGTATGCAACATGCGGATTCCTTCAAAAGCTGATTTAATTATAGAGTTGTCTGTGCAAAGCACGGATCCGTAGCTTGATTTGTCAAAAAGTTATAAGGCAAAGTCTTTCACCGGTTTTTCAACTTTGAATTTCTGCCCCTCATTATGAGATTCTTTTTTTTTTTGAAAGGGGGGGGGGGGCGAAACAGAACCAGAAAAAATCTTGAAACTAAAATGTACAAAGAAAAAAAGAAAAAAAAGATGAAATTTTCAATTAAATTGATTATTTATGGAATTCTTTAAAAAAATATATAATTTATTTTTGTAAAATTCAGTTTCTCTTTTAAAAATTTATTCTTGAAAAGGAGTGACATTTCTGCCACATAAATGTGTAAAATGGCATGCAAATGTGATGAGATCTAGTTAGGCGAAACAATTATGTACTTGCGTTAACACCATAGTTGACATCAACTGCCATTTTTTTCCTCCATCTATCGTGCCTCTACCAAAAAACAATTAGAACCAGCAGATGTATAAGAATAAACCATTCAAATATGATTTTTTTACATAGAAAAAATGACTTCTGCGAGACATTGAGACATGCGCCTATGGTACAATGCCTTTAACACAATTTTCCAAAATATAAAAATAGATGAGTGAGACTATTCTCTGAAGACATGCAATATTGCAACCTAAAATTTAGAGACAAAGTTGGTTAATATGACATAATAATAAGTATGGACTACTTAGAGAGGAAATAATTGCACTGTACATACATCAAAATTTAAAATAATAATAATCAATGGAATCCATGAAAATGGGCATCAAATAAGTCTAAAACTATGAGATGAAATCTAAAATGACAGGGGAATATTTTGGTGAGTTACAAAATTTTTTTTTTTTAAAACGTCTGCATACAAAAGACTTTGAAATCGAGGCCTCTTAGAGTGTCTGTAAACAGGATACTTAAAGTCGGACTAAATTAGGACCTCAACCCTCTAATATTTTTTTTATAAAACATACCAAGAAAATCTAAAGTTATCAAGTAGACAATCTTTAACATTAGCAAATGATTACAAACAACAGACTTTTTGATTAAAGCTAAAACAATTTAATTTAGTACAATAAATAAAGGAGCCTTTAAAGTGAGCAAGATAACAGTTTTAATAGAAGAAAGAAATAAGAAGAGGAGAAAAAGTTGAAAATACAGTAAAATGCAAATGAAACTACCTTAAAATCTAAAACATCTGTTTTGAGATTCATTATTAGTTGTATTCTTTGGTGCTTAGTGGTTTTTTTTCTCTTCAACAGAAGTAAGTGCAAAAATCCCAAAGAGCTTGTCCAGATAGTTGCACTTGAGGAGGACTCAGGGAGAGGGTCCATGAAACGAGGACTCGTTCGTTACTACGAATTATCTTATCTGCACATGCAGATAGCAATGGTCTCAGCTATGTCATTGGTCCAGACGGAGAAAAAAGCAAACCTAGACTATTATGATCCCTTATACCAGAATCCTCTTCAATTACTGTAGAGTTCATGCCAAATAAGACTTCGATGCACTTTTAGACTGCAACAGAAGATCCGCCATCTTGCTTCGTGCATTTACTTTACATGTAAAAGTGATGTCAGGCAATCTTCTGTGGCAGTCTAGTAGCATGATAATTTACTTGGCATGGACTCTAACAGCACTGCCTACCTGTATTCGCCAAATTCATTGGGCCAATTTTAGCAGAAGAATGCAGGTCCATTTTCCTGTTAAAAAATCATGCGCAACGTTTTACTAGGGCACCTGTGAGGCAAGGTACAAACATTTTCCAAATTTTCACTAATATCTTTTTTATGCTGGTTGCCAAAGTCACAGACATTTTTCAACTGTTGGTTCCTGATTTGAATTAAATGTTGCAAGAAATTTTAAAAATTAACAGCTGTCTCAATTTCTTTTGCGCGAAATAAACTTATAAATATCAGGAGCAGAAGTAAATTGAATTTTGTAGGAATTTCAACATGAAGGCTCCTCAGAACACTAACAGAACAGAATAAAGTACCAAAGAATAATCAAAAACACCAAGTGAAAAAGACAGAATTCTGGAGGAAAGACAAAGGAAGGAACTAAATACTAGTTTTTTATAGAGATATAAGTTCATGAATATGAAAGGCAAGGGAGACATGGGGGAATAAAGGTTTTTTTTATTGTTCATAATGTCACATCCGTGAACACCGAATCTGTTTTGTTACAGGAAAATATGGTAAAAAACTGTAGAGTAGGATGATTCAAATGTAACATCATTATGAATTTGTATACATGTAGTGAGTATGTGAACATTATTTAAAAGCAACTCTTCGGAGGGAGGGGAAAAAATATTTGTATTGAAACTGAGAGGATGTAACTTTTTCTTTGAATAAATGAACAATTTGGTATCACTGCATAAGATTTCAATTGACAAATTGAAATGTCTCAAGGTGAATGATTGCAAGCGGATAATTGAGGAAACAGATAGATAGCAGCAAGTTTCTCTACCCAAAAAAAGGGGGAGAAGGTGAAAAGAAACAACCTTGAAACAGTTGAGTGTTAGGTTTCTCTGCGAAAACAGGAAATGGGAGTTTTCTTTATGCAAGATTTGCAGAAATACATTGTAGGTACTTCCGTCAATAAAATTTGAGATTCTCTGAAAAAAAGAGGCACCTTTGGTCAAACATTTGACACATAAATTATGAAATATAAAAATATAACGAAACATTTAAAACAGTTTAAAATACCTAAGTTGTAAGCAAAAGAGCATTAATACCTAATTACAGAGTTAAACTTAGACACTAGATGAGAAAAACAGCACACAGTAGTACCTTTGGGTAACCTAAAACTACATTTATTTACGTCACAACTCAGATCAAAGTAAGTTAACGCGCTTTCACACAGTTTGCATTGAGCTGACTGAAACGGAAATTAGCAAAAAACTTTGTGGATGCACCTTTGAGTATTCATGCAAACATAGATGCGGTAAAAATTTTTCTGACTGTAACAAGCTTGGAGCTTTTTTCTTTAAGGGCGGAAGGAAAAATTGAGTGAAAAAACATGTCTTATGCACTATTCTGAAAGTGAAATAGATACTTCAAAAGAAAATGTTGATAAGATTGAAAAGTATTCGTTACTACCCTTGGGGAATAAAATAAGTCAGTGGAAATAATTTTTGCAGCTTGGTGGTCATTTTTCAAATGTAAAATTTTGTAAAAAAAAAAAAAAAAAAAAAAAAAAAAAAAAAAAAAAAAAAAAAAAAAAATAATAATATATGTAATAATAATAAACAAATAAAAACAAAGTTAATTAAAAAGTTTGAAAAATAATTTCCAAGGGGAGGAATCGTATTATGATCATTGCTATTTTCAATACAGAAGCTGTCTTTAAAACAATATTGGTCCAATAAATTACTAAATCAACGACTGTGGGTGGAATAAAATACCTAGGAATTTGAATGGTTACAGCAACATGTTTTTTCCTTATTTCCAGTAAAATTTAGATTCTCAAACCTAGTAATTTTTTAATTTAAAGAAGACTTAGGAAGATTTAAGGTCTTTCAAGTGTAAAAGAACATTTAGAAAAAAGAAACATTTTTCCATCCATCCTAAGGTTTAAAATAGATTCTTTTACAGATGAAACAACTTTCAAAAAGTTTATCCTATCATGAAATTAGTAGAAGTCCGAGTGTAAAATAGACCTCCCTGAAGAATACACTTATTTAAGGCAATTCAAGGTTAAATTTTCATTATCACATGCTTAATTCTCTAGAAAAAAAGCATCATCATGCAGAGGCTCCTGTAGTTAGAGTAGAGACACACCATATACATGTGCGAATTCTGCGAGTTTGATCACATAAGGCTTTTAAATTATAGACTTGTTGTGTTAAATCTGAAAAAAGGGAAAATTCATTGAATTGATTTAAGGTGAGGCATAAGACACCAAACTACCTGTACACAGAACAACTTCCGTTGACTGTTCTGACAAGTAGCAGGCAAACTTGAGTACAGAAAAAGGGTAACCCTGCTTCTTCGTGAGCAGAATCAGTTTCGACTAGATTGCACAACTGACTGAAACTCAGATACCTGAACAACCCTCATTAAAGTTCAGGGCAATCTCACCCATGTAGTCAAAATGTTACGATGGAAAATTTTATTTAATGCCATGTCAGCAACCAGGACAAGTTAGCTCAGTATAATTTAGTTTTCATTGATAAATAATTTTTACAACGGGTGTCCCAAGAGTCTTATCATCAACCCTTGTTTGAGTGGACAAATAAAGCCGGCAAAATCAAGATTGTGCGTGCATAAAGATCATTTCATTGGCTTTCTGGCGCAGTCTTATTGAGCTCTTCAGTTCAAAAATTCACGGAGTTGCAACAATTTTTAGGCAACCTATTCTTGTTACCCCTCAGAAAATGTTGCACCATTTCTAAGAAAGTAGAAAGAAAGCTGACCAGTATTAAGTTCCATTAAATTTAAATGTTGACGGCCAGTATTAATGTCAATTGTCAAAACTCTTAAAAAACACATCAATGAGGAAAGACAGGCATTTGAACGTTCTTGGATGTTGTATCAAGATAGTGCACACCTGTATTGAGTCCATGGCAAAACAAAGGATTACATTAATTTCCCACCCCTCTTGTAGCTTTGACTTAGCCGTAAGATTTATGCTTCTTCCGAATCAAAATAGAAAACATTTAAATGTATAATAGTGCTACAGCCGCTGGGGGCTTTGGAGGGCTGTAAGTCAAAAATTTCAAATGGCAAGGGTATGTTTTGACTTCAGATATGGATTCTACGCAAGAAGTTACATGGAACTGATATGGCGCACGGCCTGTTTGCTCCAAATTACTGAAGAACCCCATTTCCCCATAAAGAAGCCGTGTATTTTTGGAGAAAATAAGGGTTTAAAAAAAATTTGAGCAAACAGGCCGTACGCCATATCAATTCTGCATAACTTTTTGTGTAGAATCCGTATCTGAAGTTAAAACATACCTTTGCCCTTTGGAATTTTCGACTTACGGCCCTCCAAAGCCCCAAAATTTTTGGGGGGTTCTGACCCCCAAAATGTTGAAGCAACAGGGTCATATGGCACATTAATAAAAAGATATTGACCTCTCCTCCCAGGTAATTTTTAGATTTTGAAATTTGAATAATTCGGCTGCTTACAGCATTGAATTGAAAATTGCCCCGAAAATGCCCCATAACTCCAAAAAATGGGGGTTTAGGGAAAAAGTGCATAGAACAAAATGTTCTTATTTTTTGCAGTAAATTTCGAATCCTAAGTCGAAACATACACTTCCTATTTGAAAATCCCGAGAAACAGGGGTCCGGGTCGCTCGGACTGCCCTGTCACAGCGAGAGGAACCGGGGGTACTTTGGCCCAGTGACTACCTATCTCCCTCTCTCGCGCATGGTCAGGCTGCAGCTGTCTCTCTCCTCCTTGGAATGCGCCAAGTCCGAACCACGGTGGTGTCCGCTGCTCTGCCTTGTCCAGTTGCTTTACCCATATCACCACATAATCGAAGATTGTCTGGAAAATTACATTGCCTAATTCTACCATAAATGCCCGCCATGGACCCAAGATTCTGCCGAGTATCTCTCCTATATTTCCTTCCTGGTGGAACTCAATCTATATGTACATGTCATGTTCTTAGGCGACCTGTCACTCACCGTTCTTGGAACATGATCAAACCAGATATGCTATTTACTCAATTTAGGTATTATGAGCGACAGTCCCCTCAGTTTTCATTATTTTTCAGCCTCTCTTTCATTTCTCTTGTGATAGCTCCAGAAGATTCTGTCTAGTCCGTGACAGAAATCTATTTTGGTGCCTGAGGAATCCTCTGTGTGCAATCTTTCATGAGCTATACTTACTTCATTGCTGTAACTCAGAACTGCTCGGATTGGTGCCCCATTGCAAAAAATACAAAGAAAAGTAAATGGATTACTTACATTCCTTTTGAGATAGATGACTGGAAGTTTTTCGAGAAAGCCGAACACTCTCAATGCACCCGATCCAAGAGTCTATAAGTTGTCTGTTATCAGTCTTAAGGTTATCTGAGTGGACCACATCTAATTTAGAGATGATTTCCTTTACCTGAAGATACATTCAAGTAAAGCACAGCGAGATTAGTGTCAGAAATAACGATGAGACTGTGCGAGAGTCATCCAAAATGTATGTTAATGAGGTTCATATCTCACAGACTAGAATGATGAATCAAATCCGTAAAATTGTCTGAAACCCTAAATCCTGAACTCTCCATGGAGCCCAAGTTTTAGAAATTTATATTAGGGGCCGTAGAGAAAATCAATCTTTACGCTGAAAACTCCCATCAAGATGAGGTCGTTCCTTCTCCTAAACAAGAGACTCACACAAAACTCTCTACAGGGTGTCTACTAAAATTTTATATTGGATTTTCCTGATATTTTAAATGAAATTTCCGCGAAAAAATTGACACTTGCTTGATTAAACAAAATCAGCTAATTTCATGAATTGAATCAAATTTTCACTTTCGCATGAGCTAAACTACATGTAGTTGAAAAATGCTTCTCTCGGAATTTTCCTATCCACGACCAATTTTCCTGATTCCTCTTAATGACATAAAATTTCCTGATATATTCCAGTTTTTACTGCTCTGGTGTCCAGAGCGTGGAGGCTAGAGAGATGGGTTCTTCCTCCAGCATTTCTGGCTTTTCCATGACTTTTTAAGGTTCTTAAACATGAAATTTTCTAACCTTATAAGGATAATGAGAATAAAAATGCTATTCATAGATAATGTTCAATGCTAGCCACTTGACACTGGAACCTGGCGGCAGGAGCTGCTTTTACGACTACATGCAAGATCCATAAGTACAGAAACAATGTCGCATAGAGATAATTTTTTCTGGTATAGTCCGTAAAGGCATTGACAAAATAAAGGATGTTTCGACTGGAGAGGAAGATTCAAGGTTTATTCAGGTACGGTGATTCTGTCACCCTACTTTAGTCTTTTGTCACTTGTTTTAAATCTATTTGACCTTCTACTGCCTTCGTGTTATTTTTTTGTCTGATTTATTTGTTACTGGGTTCTACCCGTTAATAATGTAAGTAAGTAAATATATAAATAAATGAATAAAATAAAGGTTCAACAAAGAAATTTACCGAATTTTCTTGGCTAATTAGACCTGTCTGACTACCAAATTTTCTTCCACTACTCAAGAACTCATCATCCTATGACAACAATGTATACACACTGTTCTTGGATTTGCACCAAAAGATTAAAGAGGTGATATCTATTGGCTAAGATGAGACTTGTCAGTCCGTTGAACTTTGTCCAAAAATCCAACCCTGCTGAGCTACAGAGTTTATAAGGGGGGTGTTTTTCATAAAAAGCTACCTCTCCTTTGCCCACCTGCAGCTTGATTGTTGAAAGTTTGTGTAAATTGACTGAAAAAGACAAGACAACAGAGGATTGGAGTTAGATGATTGGTCGGCTTTGTCGGTCATCCTCTTTGTCTTTCCTATGATGGGCGAATTTGATAACAAAGGAACTAGGGGTGTTCAAACGAATTCTTGCCAGAACACTATCGGTATCGTCTCTTACCGAAACCTGTGGCAGTACCGACAGTGGCGATGATATCGTTAACAGCCGGACTTATCGGAGTTTTGAGAGCTCACACTCAATGCATTGTTGCCCCGTGTGTCGGTTTGTCAGATTGCCTGGCGCGGCAGCACGTAAAATAGATGTACAAATGGCAACAGCTTATTTTTGTCAGCTCCGAAAACTCAGATCACTATCGGTGAGAGCACTCTTAACATAACTTTTTCTTGACGGAACTGTTACGGTAGCTTACCGACGACCGATAGAACAGCCTTAAAAGTAACAGCAACTCAATAGGTGATTTGAGCTTCTCATCGATTTGTCTCAACATAGGCATGACAATGAGGACAACTGATAAAACCGACTAATCAAATGACTCCATTCCTTCTTTGTCTTGTCTTGTCCAATCAACTAATACAAAATTTCAACTAATTTCAATTATCAGACTGAAGGTAGTATTTTTCTATTTTAATTTTGAATGCAAAAAAGTTAAAATGTCATTGAATTATATTAAAATAACTTTGGGGTTCATCTTCACGTAACAAAAAACTCCTGTGTATCTTTGTTTCGAGAAACACCTCTTAAATTTTATGCTGTTAACTCTGGGACATCCTACAGAAGCTAATTTAAGTACAAAAGTAAAAGAGGAATATAAATACTGATGCTTGAGGACTTTTGGATCTTAAAATTAAAAGAGCATTTAGTCACTCACTCAAGAGATTTTTCTAAAATCAAAACTTACAGACCTCACTATATTCAGGGAAATAATATTTTATATTGTTCAGTTTGACTTGTTTTGTAACTTTGCGAGCCAAAGTACACGCTATTTTGGTTTCACCACAGATATTTAAATAAGTATTACCGGCTGGACTTCATTCATGTATCCGTGAATGAGGCGATCGATTCTATTGAGGTCCTCTTGTTGATGGCTGCCAACAGAAGATTTGACCTCAGAAAATGACTGTTCAATTTTTTGCCTTTCGTTTGTCAGCAAATCAAGTTGTCTTAAACTGAGATCTATCAGCACATGGAATTTACCTGGTAAAGTTCTGGAAAAAAGAGAGAATTTTCAGTAATCATGAGACTGTAAGACTAGCAGTAGCTTAAAAAACCCATCATTGATGGATGGCTGCAGCAAAGATGTTATGGAACAATAAATTGCTGATCTTACCTGAAGGATCAAATTCTGAAGTACCTATTTTCACTTTCAAAACCTCTGAATGTCCTTCATCCTAATCTAAAGCGAAGAAAAAGAAAAAAATAGAACATCTAGGTATTTAGACATGAAATTGTTTCCTAGTATTGCTGTGAGAACAGTTTTTTGAAGAAAATTATTAAGAGATGATTACCTACAGCTTTTTGCAGAAAATGTGTACTATGAAAGCGGAGAGTGTTATCTTCCTAATTACTCTTCATGAGGCTACTGAAGCAACTCATTTTAGGACCAATACAAATCTCTCGAGGCAATTTCCTTTGAACCTAGTGTACTCAGCTAACTATGCCTCTGATAAATTATCAAGAAAAAAAAAATATTACCCCCTTCTTCCCCATTGCCTGAAAAAGCGAATGGGTAGTTGTTTCTTAAACAGAATGCGTTGTTAAATGCTCAAAATGGTAGCTGCGCGCTATGATTTCCTAAGTCAGCATCCTTGCATTTTTTTTCTTTTTGGTCAATTACTATGCATTATTCTGAAACTAATGTTTCACGTTGTTTATAAATAAAATGCACCAAACTTAGTGGCTCCATTATTGACCGGGATTTTGAGGATTTGTTAAAATATACATTGTTGCCCTTTGATTTCCACCGATCTATGAATTCAACTATTCTCTAAATAATCCACAAGCAAGGGTACAGAAAGTTTTTTGCCTTCACATTCTTGAGGCAGCCTTTCACATTGCTGTTCACAAAAAACTGAGATTCACTTTTTTCTTAGCATAAAAGAGCGCGTTACACTGTTTCCTTTGCAAAAAGTAACATTACAAAATTTGAAAATATATTTAAAGCTTGTACGTGGGTAATTAAGAATAGAGCTGATGCAGGTTTTCATCACCACATGAAACGGAAAACTTACTGTAAAGATTTAGTATGGTAGAGGAGAGAGACTATTTTCAACTCGAGTGTTTCATTCGTCTTTTCAGGCACTGCACAGGCATTATTATTTAGATCTGGCATAGCGTCGGCATTATTATTCCAATCACACTCAACTTCCTTTGTTGCATAATACTGGTTAGACATAAAATCTTGACACTGCTTTTCGGTGCATTCATATCTTTTTGGGCTAAAAACATTGTGATCAATATTTCTATCTATACAAGGCATGTCATTGTTGTTTAAATCCACTGCTGGTGATACAGGTGAATAGGGCGGGCCTTGAGGAAGGCTCGAATTCCAGCGATCTGAGCGATAGTCTTGACAGCCTCGTATCATTCTTGGTCGGCTGGTCTGCAGAAAAGAATTGTTCTTGGGGCTTTCGGGCCTTGAAAAGTTGTACATGGAGGGTTTTGCTGGATTGAGGAGGTAGTTATTGCACCTGTATTCATTATCCTGAAAACAATAAAATTCCATATGTAAATCATTGGCCGTGTTATGCAAATTGAAAAAAAAAAAAAACACTACAAAAACGTGGGAATTTATAAACAAACTGTGTAGTACATTATGAGTCAGTGTAATGGGCCATCATTTAAAGAGTTCTTTCGAATGATCACATACAAGATTTACAAAACCGTTATGCTATGATTAGGCATAAGATTCATTATCCTCAATGAACAAATAGCCTGTCATTTATATGACTTTATCAGGTATTCATGTTTCTTGACTTTGTTGATAAGAGTGCATACATGGGTGTTTGATTTGATGTAAAACCTACACAAAGGTGAAAAATCTCAGCAGTACTTTAAAGGCTGTACATTATCATTTAAAGATGTTTTTCTACAAAGAAAAACGAAAAGGTACATAAATAAAACTCATTTGTAGATTCCATACTATTTTGTTCTGCTCACAAAATTTAAGGTATTCATTCTTGGCAAACTTCAACATCAGGAGATATTTTCAAATTAACAGGATTTTCTGACTTCCTAAAATGTTGTTCTTACCTATCATTTTTAAATTACTTGGCTCAGAGGGAAGAGGAAGGACGCTTGTGTAACTAGGAGCTATATTCATAGTCCTTCCACAAGAGGATTTTCTCCTACTGGAGACTTTAATGAATGATTTACTTTAAGAATACAGAATATTTAAAGACTTCTTTAACGCAGCATTGTAAAAAGGACAATTTTTAAGGAGCTTCAGTAAAATTCTTCAGCTTAACTTTAAGCATGCATCTTTGCAAAAGATTATGATTAAGTATCATTGAAAAAATACAGTGTATGAAAGAAAACACATATATTGCAGATTTCGCAAATTTTGAAGTCGGTCCCCACCTTTTTTAAAATAAATCAAAATCACAGAATCCATCTTTTTGTACATTACATTTTTTGCAAATCATTGTGATCTCTTGTAAAGATCTATTTTATATATGCTCAATTTAGCTTAAGTTTTGGAAAACTAGTTATTTTAGAAAAGAATGTTGCTGTTAGCAAGCACTATAAGGTGTTTGCATTTCTGGCATATTTGAAAGAGGTCAACGACACAGACAAGCACAGACATTTTTGTCTTAAATTTCTTTGAAAATGGTGTGATTTCTGGTAAGAGAGTCATGATTAAAAAATGGTATGGTGATAATTGTAGGAAAAATCATGATTAAAGAATGTTTGACATAATATTATGTGTTGAATAACGTCAAAACAATGGGCAGTCTCTTTCCTGTACTTTGAATTTCTAATTTTTAGGGGTTATTGATGCCATAATGCACCCATCTATGCTGCGGTGTAAATGAATCAGAAACTGCCACCACCTTATTTTCTCCTCTAAAATCTCTAAAAGCTCGACCTTCGATACGAGCAGTAAAATGTTGTTCCACAATCAATACAATTTAAAAACATCATCATAATGTGCCTAGGAAATTCTATTCTTAGGCACTTCAGAAAATTATATACACTAACTTGTTGTGATGACTGTAAGAGCTTTTCGAAAGTTAAACTTGTGGAACCATCTAGGGAACTGATGAAATTGCAGAGCTGTTCTTCATTTGGTAAACACTCTCCTGAAACAAAAGACAAATTTGAGACGAAAAATGAATAAAGTCAAGGAAGGTGTCTACATTACACCAAGTAAAGCAGTCTGAGCAACTTATGGCAAGTGCCATTTCTTTGTGGTTGAAGTCTTCAAACATTTTTAGAGCAAAATGCAACGGAGAGAATGTTTTGCCACTATGGCGTATCAAGCATCAGACATAGTTCCTTAATGATTTAGGGAATCAACTGAGTAAGATGACCAAATTCAAGACTTATTTAACATTTGTATTGGTTCCTCGTAAATTTGGACGGCTGAGATAGAGAGATTTCAAAAATAATTCACTACCAGTTATGTGAATGAGAAAAATATAAGGAACTGAAATGTTAGTAAAAATGCTAAAAACGGCCTCTAAGTAAGACCTCCACATTTAATGATTTTGAATCGTTTCATATTTTAGATTTATTTTCACAATTGCTGTAATTCATAGCATTTATACCAGCTCTGCTCTGAGACAGCCATATCTGAAGGATAAATGCACCCATCTTTGCAGTAGTCTATCTGCAATGAACTATTCTAATCGGAATGGCTCTCTTTACATGTACCGTCCATAGAAAGATAACTGTTCCGAAAAGAATACTTTATTCAAGATGGACTTCTTTGGCATGAATGTGTCGAAACACACTAATAGTCTGTCTGCTTCCAACTGACTCTCGGTTTTAAACTGAAGCAGACAAACTCAGGGTGCTTCATAAAATACGGTGTAAACGGTGCAGGTCAGACATGTGGCTCCTTTGAGGTTAGACTAATGCTAGTCTGTTTCAGTCCGTCCGACAGGTCAGACTAATGATAGGCTGGGTTCTATTAAACATGCTGATTTAGACAAATGTTAGACTCATGAGAAGTCAGTCTAACTGCTCAAGGTGTCCCATGTTTACTTGGGAAGAGAAAAGCCCAATTAAAGAGATACAGCAAACAAAAATTCTTTGCATCATATTATGATGAACAAAATTAAACTAAACATCTGGTCAAGAACATCATTCTAAACATTTAAAGTAGACATACCTAACATCGGGTTGTTGCTACCGAAGTTTATGAGTGGGTATTGCTCCACTGGATCATGAAGGAGTTCAATCTGGTTACTTGGGTACACCTGTGATTGGGTAAGAAACACAGAAAAAAATTAAAAGCAACATCATTCACAGTTAGAGAATAGAACATTAATTGTCAGCTTGAAAGATGCATAAACTTAATTGATGGCATATTGAATGAATTTTTAAATGAATGAAGCAATGACTACATCAAAGGACTACGCATGGAATACCAAGAAATTCGGCACAGGCTAAATTTCAGTACCATTTGATATGATATTCCATTTGGCCTACTGAGCTCAATGAGCTTTAAAAATCGAACTGTCTGCATGTCAATCTCAAGAAACGGTAGGCTAAAAAGTGAATATTAAACTATTTTTTCACGCAATATCTGAAGGAGGTGTGATAACCTCTTATGAATGATCAAGGAGAGCTTTTGTCTCCTCGCAGGTTGGAAGGATAAGACCAACAAATATTATCAAATTCCCCTGAATCATCAGGCTGAACAGCCTGAAGTCAACATAATCATAGTCCCAGTTCGACATTTTCATTAGAAAACCCGTCAAGAAGGCCGAAAAATTTATTGTTCAGCCCCACTACTCTCAAGATTGGCACAAAGAATGGTCGATCCTAAAAGCTCAGCATAGTACTCAAGAGGTCATAAAGAACTTTGTATCAAATATGATGTCTAAAATTAGCCCATGCCCGGTTCTTAGTGTACCATGTTTGATCCTTTGGTTTAATTATTTCGTCGTTCACTCACTTCAACCTATATGACATATCGACGGTGCAAGTCGGCAATCACAAAACTCGGTTTGCGACGTCGCAGACTTCCTGTCATACTTTGTTTTTTAAACGAAAAACCACTCAACGGCAATTCTTTAAAACTGTCATGATTTTTCTTCATTGTGCGAAGAAAATTCTGCAAAAACTTCAAGGAATGATGTCAATTAGTTCTCCTTTAAAAAAATAAGATCGAAGCGGAGATTTTCAGACACCACAAACGAGTTATGTGATTGCCGACTTGCACCGTCGATATTCTCAATCTTTTGAAAAATTTATCATCAAGTTAGGTTTGTACGCGAAGGGCTTTTTTTTTATCCGAACTACAGTGGATCGCAACGGAACGTATCAAATTTTTATCCCGTTCCACTGGCACCAGTGGAACGCTTGGACCACTCTTCCGAGGTAGATTGAGGTTGGTTCAGGCTGGTTGAACCAGCCCGAACCGCTACCATTGCGTTCCACGGATAAAAAAAGCCGTTATGTGTAGTTTTTCAGGACTGTCAAAGTGTTGGGCGAAAAGTTTGACCATCTGAATTAGGGTGTCAGCCCAAGCCCAATTTGGGCTATCAAATTTTTCCGGCAAATTTCTTCCACTTTGGTCTGATAAAAAGTTGAATTCCGTGTTGAGAGCTCTAATAAACCATATCCTCAAATACTTACGTTTCCTTCCTCCGCACAATGGTTCCTCCTGCACAGGGAATAAGAATCCATTTATTGAAATTGATTAGAATTAAAACCATTGAACTTCAGTAAATTTCTACTGGAGGAATGGAGGACCATTATTGGAAATAATTTGGAATAAGATAGGAATTATGTACAAGCAACATCTGATGAATAACCTGCCGATTGCGTGAGCTTTGAAAGAGGTTACCTGCGGGCTGTGGTTGACGGTTGAGATGATGATTTGCGGTGAGCAAATACTCAAAACTTTGACCTGATTAAGCTTCAGTAGCCAAGAGTCCAAAATTGCAAAGGTTCAGTTTTGTAAATAAATATTAATTAATGAATTCACTTACATTATTGTTTTGGCTTTGGATGTTCCTCATGTAGGTTTCCATCTTCTTGCAGAAGAGACAGCAGTCAGCAGTCACCACTTACTGAACGTAAAGATGGTTAAAAATGTTTACCGATTAAACGAAGTTGTGATATTAGTTACGCCACAAATTAGCAGCACAATTAGCAGAGCTTATACTGAATTTAAATCAATGAAAATTTGTTTCAAAAGCCAAACACAGGGAAATTTTAAATTTTAAATTTTTTGAATACCAATACTGAATACTGCAATAACTAACGGTTTTTTTGAGTCAGCTGACCTCAGCGGACCAATGAGAGTTGTCCCTGGGAGCTAATGCTGAAAGTGCAGAAAATAACCTCAAAAAACTTCTGTTAGGTTCAGGGCTGCCGATTCGTGAGTAATTACTCACATCGTGAGTAATTTGAGCACCGGTGAGTAAAACGTGAGTAATGAGTAATTGGTGAGTAATCCGACGATCCGTGAGTAATCGTGAGTAATGCAAAATCCATGGGTAATTCTCAGTAATTCTCCATTTTTGGCGCAATTTGTGTGAGTAATCGGTGAGTAAAATTTAAAACGATGAGTAATCGGTGAGTGAAAACAATGTCAATGTGAGTAAAATCGGGAAATGGTGAGTAAAAAGTGAGTAGAATTGAGAACGGTGAGTAAAAGTGAGTAAAATCGCGATCAGTGAGAAGCAAGTGAGTAAATTTTAGATTGGTGAGTAGCGTGTGAGTAAAAAATTCGCGAAATGTGAGTCCGAGTATCGGCAGCCCTGGTTAGGTTTGTATTTGTTGTTTGATTATCGCTGTCTCGAATTAATGGAATACTTTTAATTGAGCAGAGATGACGATGACAGTTTTAACGGCTGATACTTAAATAAATTAAAATTAATTGAACGATCTGGGGACCGGCCGTGATTGCGCGTAAATATGCGTATTACATTGCATTGGCGTACGCATGGCTGCGATGTTGCTTTCTGCGAACGAATATCGAATATCGTATCGAATGCGATTATTCGAGTATCGCACTATCGATTCTTTACCATAGCTTCTAACGGGGACGTGGCCATATTCGATCACTGCAGCTAGAATTCTTACGATCAGCGACCTTCCTCCTCATTTTACTTTTAAACTTTCAATCTTAGAGGAAAATGTCATAGGACCCGAAATAACGACCGTAGAATTTCCTTTCGGTTCATTACACAAAATTTTGGAAAAAATAATTTTCGTGACCAAAAATAAGGGTTTTAAAAAGGGCGCAGGCAAAAATTCTTATGATCAGCGACCTTTCTAATCATTTTACTTTTAAACTTTCTATCTTAGAGGAAAATGTCATAGGACCCGAAATAACGACCGTAGAATTTCCTTTCGGTTCATTACACAAAATTTTCGAAAAAATAATTTTCGTGACCAAAAATAAGGGTTTTATAAAGGGCGCAGGCAAAAAATGTTATGATCAGCGACCTTTCTCCTCAGTTTACTTTTAAACTGTCAATCTTAGAGGAAAATATCATAGGACCCATAATAACGGCCGTACAATTTCCTATCGGTTCATTACACTAAATTTTCGGGAAAATGGGAGAGGCGATGGAAAGGAATACATACAAGAAAAACGACTCGTACCTGTAAAGATCCACTGTGAATTTCGGTTCCTCCGCACTATTCCCATGACTTCTTCTTGATTCTCGTTGGCCCTGGGGTTAAAGCTTCGTCTGGAATTGATGAAATACTTCTAAATGAGCAGAGAAGATGACAGTTTTAACGGCTAATGATTCAATAAATTAAAATTAATTGAACGATCTGGGGACCGGTCGTGAATTCGTGATTGAGTGGGAAAATGCATGGCCTAGACCGTGGGCCAGCAAGGGGTAACCCTCCCCCCCACCCCCGTGGGAATTTTGAAGGTGGTGATTTTCTTGAAGCTCTCGACTAGTAGAATAAGATTTTTCTTGTTTACGCGAATTTTATAGTGGTGGGGGGAGTAGGCCCCCCCCTAAACCCCCCAAAATTGCTCAGAATTCCGACTTTTCCGCGAATTTCCCCATTTTTCTCGCAAAGATTTGATTTTAGGTCAAAACTCCAAATAACCATTCTGAAAGCTCGTGAAATTTTGGTCTAAAAAACTTTGTTTGACTTTGACCAGGACCCGCGGTATCCCAAAATGGGGGGCTTAAAATGTCAAAATATCTCAAATTTCCGCGAAAATGATCGTTTCGCCGCGATTTCTCGCCAATAACGCGAAGGAGGTTGGTATCATCGTAAAATTGTTTACCCCTAAAATAATAGAGCATTAGTTTTTCATTCGAGGGCCGGCCTAACCCCTCGTGGGGGGAGGGCCCCCCCCCCAGCAGTACCCACCCTATAAAAACCGTCACGATTGGCCGCTTCCTTGAAGTAGCGTTATGCGCAAAAATGGGCGGCAAAATGAAAACAAGTAGCGTTTGTTCTGAGAGAACATCAATGTGGATTCTTGTAGGGGATGACAGGGGGGAGGGAGGTACATCCTCCTCCCTCCCCCTCCCCCTCCCCCCAAAAAATAATCACGGAAAACGTTAATTAACGCGAAAATTCCACTTTATAAGACGACTTTCAGGGCTTGTCACTGACACGCTTACACTAACATAATTTAACGAGCGGGGGAGGGGAGAGGGTTTACCCTCCCCCCTCCTCTTCCACCCCGTCCCCCTCCCCTCCCCCAAACAAATAATCACGAAAAAATGTAAATAAACGCGAAAATTCCATACTCTAAAAGGCGACTTTCAGGGCGTGTCATTGTCACGCTCACACTAATATAATTTAANGGGGGGGGGGGGGGGGGGGGGGGTTAGACATCTTACCCTCCCCAGCCAACATTACAAAAGGGTGGGGGAGGGGAAATTTATAAGCGTCACTTACTTAATAATTGGAGGGACGGGGAAACCTAGCTGCAGCAGGAGAATTTTAAGATTTGAAGGGATACGTAATTAAATCAGGGAACGTCGAGATACTATTTTATTTTTTGGAAATGACAGAAACTGAGGGGAGTTTATTCATCATTGACGGAAATGTACATTCTTAAGCTAACACATGATCTCGGGGATAAAAAGGAAAGATACTCACCGATAGATTGTACTAGTCCTGGTAGACATTTCGTGTTGAAACTTCGCAAACTACCTAATGGTATTTTGATCGAAAAATTCATTTAAAACCAAACTTTTGCTAATATATATGATGACACAAACGATGATGACATATAATTGGAAGGGGGGGGGGGGGGGCATGCGGTCCGGATGAGCAAGGCAAGCACTGCCTGCCCAAATATTTCAGAAGAAAGAGGAAAATTACACCTGTTACATGTTCTAAATTTTAGGAAATGTTTAAACTTTTATTATTGATAAAATGTATTAGTAAGTAAATTGCATCAAAAACAGAAAGAGAGAGACAGAAATACGTACATAGCAGCCACTAAAGTAGGAAAGCAGTGGCGTGCGGTGGGTTTAGTGACAGGGCAAGCTCTAGCGTTCGCCAGCCGGGGGGGGGGGGGGGGGGGGGTTAACGTAGTCTCTTTCCCCTCCTCAGGGAGCCTCCCTAGAAAATTGTTAAAATTTTACGGTATTTGCTCTATTTTTCGGATGAAATATGATGGAACGTCTTGAAAAACTGTGGTTTTATTACTTTCTCTCTTACTTATGATTTCATTTACTCAACTTATGTTTCAAATGTTACTGAGCATTAGAGGACGGCTCCATGCTCTTAACTCCTAATTTTGCCACTTATTTGAGGTATTGTAGTCTTTATTCTACATTATTTAGAATTTTTTGAGTTTAAAATTAGAAATTAGAAAAATAAGTTAGAAAATTAGAATTTTCTGCGTTTAAAACATGATTGAGAATTTTCTAATTCATCACTAATCAGATCAAGTGGGGGAAATTTTATAGAATTTAAGGGCATTTGCACCGAAGGAGCAATTACAACCGCGACGGATAGAGGGAGCAAGATAGCGCATCGGAGGCAGAAGCAGCGCGCTACGGTGACGGGCGAAGAGAAGCGAGCTGCGATCGCGCAGCGAAGGGCTTGGACTCGGAACGTACCGCTCTACCCGCCCGCCCGCCTTGATTCCGCCGCGCCGAGCAGGGGCTCTCCGCTCAGCTGATCGCAAACGATTCTCCAGCGCATGAGTCGGCGAGCGGAGTTCAATCGTCGACATCGGCAGAAGTCGAATTCGAAAAAAGGGCAGTCGTCGACTCGAAGCGAACGGGTCGAATGGTTCCGCGAACTGCCGCGAATGTCATGAACNGCAATTTACATACTGAACACGCTTTATAAATATATTTGCTAAAATGTAAAACATGCATCTAACAGGTGTAAGTTTCTTCTTTCTTTTGAAATCTTTGGGCAAGCAGTGCTTGCCTTGCTTATCCGGACCGCACGCCACTGCGCCCATGGGCCGCCTGTATTTTGCCGCCCCCTTCTCATTCGTTTTGAAGCATCAATAAAAATCATCAAATGAACGTGCCAGCGGGGGAGGGGTGCATAAGACGCGTTTACTCGTTTTGAACACATTTTTTGCGAAAGCCCTTTCAACACCACCAGCAAAAGCTTTGGGAACTTTGCGCGAAAGTTAAGATTCGTAAACCTATCTCTGTGTGGACAAGGCCTTCCATTCATAAGAAATGAACAAAAAAATTATGAAAGAACAAACATAAATGTGGATTAATGAATTTAACTTCCGCCCCCGCGCCGCGCTGACCGCACTGTGTTTGGCGCAATACGTGAAGTATTCCGACAGTCTTGTAGGCGCTATGGGTTTCACGCCGACCGCTGCTGAACGCACTGTGTTGGACGCAATGCGTGAAGTATTCACTCAGTCTTGTAGGCGCTATGTGTTTCACGCTAACCGCACTATGTTTGGCGCAATGCGTGAAGTATTCATGCATTCTTGTAGGCGCTATCCATTTCACGCTGATCGCAATGACTGCACTGTGTTTGATGCAATGCGCGAAGTATTCGTGCAGTCTTATAGGCGCTAATATGTGTTACATGCCGATCGCAGCGGAGGGCTTCTCCTTTTCATCTCAAGTCCTCGTCATCGTTTCTCTCTCAGTCACGCCGTTCCAGGCCAAATTGCTTGTTTGGTTTCTCTCTTAACTCAACTAATTAAAGGTGCTATCTCTTGTATCACTGAAAGACGACAAAAGTAGAAATTACTATACTCTCAGAAAATTAGATATTTTGTCGCCTTTTCTCGTTTGTAATTTTTTTTC